TTTATGATTGGTTTGGGATCTGATTCTGAGCTTCACTTGACAACATGTTTCGTAATTTAAATGGCTATGTATTAAAAGTCTTTTTTAACTGTTCACCGACTTTTAACCTTTAATCCGGATTTTCTAAAGATACAGTTGAGTTGAGTCTTACTGCTGTTAGTCGCAAATTTAGTTTTTTAAATCTCGCAATATGTATCTGCTGTATTTTATGCTTTCGTTCAGTGCCACAGCTTTTTCTGCAGGTTTAGGTTTCGTTTAGTCTCGTGGGATAGAATAAACAAAAGTTGGAGAAACAGAATGTACGGCCTCCAAATGTCATTAGCTGTAGCTGCTAGGTTTTGAAATCTTATTTAATATTTGGCGTTCAGTATTATGATCTTGATATCTAGCATTACCATTTCTGTATGGGTCTTGAAATGACGCATCGATTAAAAATATTTGAATATGTGTTCAATTCCTTCTATCTACACTGTGCCAGCCGTATTTCAATATGTCACAAAATCCAGTCGAGAAATATCTTCACGACAGAGGCTTTAGATATGAACGAATAAATACTTCAACCTCGTTATTTAGTATAAAGAATATATGGCGCAAAATAGCAACAACTCATTATATTTTTTCTACTCTCATAAGAAAGGAAGGAACAATGATGACTGTAACTGTCGAAATCTCAGCCTTCTTTACACTTATTGAATGGGGCCAATTCTGGTATTCTGGTTGGTCCATTTCCAACTCAGCAGGCAAGAGCGCCTTAATTTCAAAGATAGAATCGACTGTAGGTGTGTGTCAAGCATTGTCTGTATTCTCTTGTTTCCTTTCCACTCATTTATTGGAGTAGTACTTATTTATCAACCTCTGAAAAAAGAAGATTCAGTGACCTGACCGGGACTCGAATCCAGGACATTGGTTCTGATTCTGATGACCTACTGATCGGGTAATCTCGGTCTGAAGTAACGTGTGGTAAATTTGTTGCTCAATGGAATTCATGATAAAGACAAAGATTGCTCGCTGCAGGAACTCAGGACATCTGGAATTCGATTTTTAAGTTGACCTTTTACGCACTCTGCTTCTACGCTGCGCCATTCATGAATTCCACACTGTTCCACTGAGACATGGCATGACCCACTGATTAACATCTTAGAACCACAGCTCATTGCTCAGATTCAAAGGTTGCGTAATAGAGGGCTTTGGCCTAACAAAATCATTAATTTGCCCTTGCCGTCTCTTGAATCGAATTACAGACATATAGTAAGATAAAATACCACTACTTGAAGGTTTACAACTTTAATCTTTATGCGATATTTATAAACTTTTGTGAAGCGTTCTCTATAGCAGCAAAAGTTCATTTATTTGTTACTTTAAGCTAAAAGATTATTTTTAGACTTTTGAGTTTCGTTGTTATTGACTCGTGATTTTGTTTAGATTGCTTCAAAAAATGCAAACACCCAGCAACAAACTTCCGAAAAGAAGCGGTCATGTTGTAAAGAAAAGGAACATAAAATTGTTTCCAGCAGTATTGCCAGTTTAAGTGGAACGACCGTAATTGGACTGAGTTTCACTAGTGATTTCGAAAAGCAAATCGATCATCTTCGCCACAGAAAACGAAGTCTCGAACGTTACGCGAAGTCTGTTAAGCCGAAGGTCCATAAACTAAAGCAGTTGCTTTCACAGTTGACTGTCGGCGACCCTGACCCTGAGGGGAACATCAAGTTCGCTTCAGAGGGAGATCCGTGGGTGTTAGACAGAACGGAGAAGATCCTGCAATCGTTCGACAAGAGAGACTCTGAGCTGAGGGACATCGTCAAGGAGCTTAGGGAAAACAATTCGGCCTTGGAGAAACGCCTGGCACATGAAGAAGACATGAAGGCAAAGGTGAAACAGCTGCAAACAGAGCTGCGATCCAAAATTCGTGAAGCTACCGTACTCAATGTCAAAGTAGACGAGCTGACAGGTTTAAAAATAGCCTATGAGCAGCGTCTGGCCGATTTTGAAAAGACGAGTGAAAATGACAGCTTGATTAAAGGAGGTGAAAGTCCTGGACTATTGGATGCAGAAATACAAGGAATAAATGGTGAGCGTAAATTTACAGTTTGAACTATAATAACACATTTACGTTTAAAAGTAAGAAAAATGTGCTTGTTTAAATATTCAAAGTATGTTGTTAAAAACTCGTTTAGAGAAATGTGCTTTAGAGGGCTCAAGGAGTGAGAGAGAACTAGGAGAGACGATGATTTGTTCAGGTCTCAAACAAGGAGCGTCTCAAATAAAACAGAATTTAGCCGTCCACCTCCTCCTCCTACACAAGTATATCGCAGAACGAATAACTACTGGAGCTAGTCGCTAGTAGATGACCGTCGCTGTCCGTATCGTTGGTAAGGCAGCGTTTCAAATTTTGTATCCGTTGTTCTGGGACGCGTTTGTTCTCCACTGACGGCAAACAATCTTTAATGTTTTGTCACCGTGACTGAACCTGCTGTTTCTGATACCAACCACATTTCCTGCCATTGAATTGCATACGCTCGCCTAGTTATTTGATAACCAGTATTTAACCTACATTATCGCTTTGGACTTGAAATCATGCGAGCTGTTGAAAGGGAAGACCAGCTTCAAAGTCAGTTGCCTTTCTGGCGTAAGGAACTGTAAAAAATGTGATATAATAACTAACGTTAACAAAATAGTGATTAACATGCATTAAAGAACTCATTTTAGCACGTGACACTGTTTTTCTATGATAATAGCGAAGCTCTCAATGGGACGAAAAATTTGCACAAATTTCACGTTTAATGAGAAAATAACCATTGTTGCTGGAGTATTCTGTCAATAAATTAGTTCCGATAACCGCTTATATTTTCGGGTCGCAGAGACAGACGCTCAAACGGTGTCTCCAATGATCATGACCCTTTGGCAGCGTTTCAGCTTCCGCAGAAGGTAACGGGAGTCTGAAGCAGAGTCGTTTCATACACCTACCCCAGATTATTTTTGGCCGTTACGGGATCTTTTTCTTGTCGGATGGACAAGTAGTAGTTGCTCTGCCTTCTTTTCTGGAGGCATTCATAACACGTGTCCAAGTCATCGCAGTTTTGACTTAACGATCTGAAATAGCAGCCGTTATATGCCCAAGGTTTCTCGCAAATCTAAACTCCGAATCATGTCGAGACGGGTGGGCGCGGCGATTCGTCTCTAGAAGTCCATTTTAGCAGCTCGTACACGGGGTCGAAACTTTAAGTCATGCCGATGACTCGTGCATGTGATTGACCATCGGGATGATGGTCACTTGAATGCAAACAGGTTGGTTTGGACTCTGCTTTGCTTTAGTCACAACAGTTCTGGCTAACTCATGCAGGACACCGCTGATCATTCCAATTTGCCAGTCGGTCTCTTCTTTCCATTTTCCATCGCCAGTTAACACTACCCCGAACTTTTTCACCA